GAGAGCTGACACAAGTCAGATCCAGCTTATAATTTGCACAATGTCGGCAATTTCCAATCAGTCCATTGCGTGATATGCAATGAAGGGCTCGAGGTACATTTGTTGAACACAAATGGGCTATAATTCGAAAAGATCAGCCAACTCAAAATCTCATCGCTGTATCAATATCGGTTACAGTAGCCATGTGACGAGGGGTTGTAAGTAGAGCAAGGTAAAATCGCTGTGAGGCTTGATTGTACCTTTCTCATGCGTGTGGTGTTGTATCTACTGGAAAACGAATGTACGCTATTTATATCAAGGGGCTGATCCAAATAATATCACTCGAGAGCTGTGATCCTACAACATGAGCATACTTACTTCAATTTCTATGAGATCTTGAAATCTTGATACGGGGGGGGGTTTATATGACCTCATACTATGAAGATTTCCAAGCTTTCTCAAGCAGCAGTCCCATATAAGCAGTACAGGCCTGCTCTAGAAATTTCGAAGATTTGAGAAAGTCGGTAAGAGTACATAGACGGGAGCAAAGAGGACTCACGATGCGGCAGCTGCGTATTTGATGATCACGCCACGCTGTAGCCTATACAGTATCTACTCATTAAGTTGCGGAAGATTGGGTATGTGTAGAATCACTGCTCAATGGACATGAATCATTTTCCGGCTGGGCCAACAAGAAGCCAGGGTGCAACAAGGCTTGACGTTTATGAGAATCCATTGAGTGAACGAAGGAAATGTTTATTGGTGAGTGATATCAAATGAAATGACAATTTTTGCCGTCGCCGGTGGAAAAAACGTGAGGATCAACGCCAATGAATGTTGCGACGTGTTGTTGATATTTTCTGTGATATTGCCGGGTCTGTTGAACCGGTGACAACGACAGGAAAACGTTCCTCATCTGCATTCATGGACCATCAAGAACGAATATTGATCCCTCCGAAACGAACGCTCCCTGTGTTCTGTTGAATTTTGAGCCATTTGCAGTTCAAGGACGAACTCTGTTGGTGAACTCATAATTTGCAATATCCGTTAAAACGACGCTAGTGGAAGGGCTGGCTACAGTGCTATAAATACCACAGTTCCTCGCCGGCAAAACAATCTTTCTCAATTACTCCTTTGTTTTCATTCCTGGTCAAAGAATATGAAAAGCCTTTCATCTCTACCGGCGATTCTTTGGTATGAAATAAACACTTGTTGCCATGCAGTTGTGATTGGACTGACTTCTTGTATCACCCCCAGCTTGTCTACATGCGATACCGACTGTTTAAAAGCAAGTGAGTGTAACCGCTGGGTCATTTGGAATAATGCTGACATGAAATATGCTCAATATCAGCCCTCCTCTACTATTCCTCTTGGAACCATTTGACGGGCCTTGAATGACCTCGAAAATGATCAAATCTGCGATCGCTGTGAGTTATAAGCTAAGTTCATAGACTACTTACTCACGATCAATGTTAGGTCAAGGTAAATCCTTATGCAGCCATTTGGCCTCCCCGGATACAGCGGATAGCAACAGCTGGTAATGTAGGTTTCTATCATCGCGGCAATTTTGAGAATAATTATTCTCTGCTGACGACTCACTGTATAGAAAGCCAGACTTTCCATCGCGAGCCGCTCCATATCTTGTAAGTCACCTTGGAACGTTGCTTCTGCCTAGTACCATGGCCGAGGCTGCATTTTGTATCCCTGTGCGGATGTTGTTTACTTGAGGTTTTATCTTGCCGTGCTCTCTATCCATCGGAAAAGATCGCTGATGCTTCTTTCTACTCATAGGTATTTTTCCAAGATGGCACTCACCACGACCGAGCCATACTTCCCCATTGTCCTCAAAACTAAGGATGCAGTGCACGTCGGGCCGGACCAATGAATCCCAGTGCGTTCCTATTTCGCTGTTCCAAGACACCTGCTTGAAACGTCCATTTCGCTCACTCACGATGACGGAAAAAATCTAGGAAAGCTCAGTGCCCTTTGATTAGCCATATGGTAGAGTTTCAACATGGTTTTATCTCTCCCGGCTTCATCCTGTCCGACCAAAGGTTAACTGTCATTATATTAGCTTCCGTATCCCGACGGCCTTGCACCTCTTGTCCCATATCCGATTCGAAGCCTCGACGACGGCATGATCCGGTCCCATTCCAGGCCAACTGAGCTATTGCAGCATCGGCGACAACAAAGAAAAGCCGAGCATCGACGGCCACCAAGTAAGACCATGGTCTCTCCAAGGATAGTATCAACCAGTAAGTAATTGAGCTTCTAGCCACAGTCTAAGGAATAGCTCTATCAGGCCCGGTTGCAGCTGAGCAACTGACGAGGCAGGCCGCAGCACTGGATCTACCCGGTCTCTCGACGCGAGAGCAGTCGTTTCAAGTCAGTTCCTGGTGAAATATAGACCAAATATCATGAATTTCTCCACAAGTGGCACTTTGTCTTGCCAACACGGGGGAAGATTTGCCTGGCGCACGAACAGCAAATATGAAACGGCTATACATTGGAAGATATGGCCCACGTCCATTCCCTGCAGCACGGAGTGATCCCGGCCCCTCGTGTACGCATGATCGAGCTGACGCCTGCTACCTCGTCTCTGGTTGGCCTATGCTGATGCCAGACTATATTGACGGCAAGCCTGTACCACCCTCATTCACCGGAAATCATGCTGACATAGGCAGTGAAACACAGCCCTGATTCGACCGTTCCCACGAGCTCGATCGGAATACTGTTCGTGGCTGTTATTGGGAATCTCATCTAGGCCGTCAGCAATGTAATTTGCGCACACCTATCTTGCGCCAGCTGCTGATAATTGGTGCTAGATCAAGTGTATCCAGCCGCAAATTACTTCGGCCGTGTCCCAATGCAGATGGTGATTTAAAGCTGCTACCATGGCCTATTTCATGAACAAAATTGGCGAGTACGATCCCATCACCAAGTAGTTTGGAGGCCAACTAGCCATGTTGTCAAATCGCTGAGGGAAGATGGCTGTTTCCTCCCAAATGCGGCCACGAGCCGGTCAATGCTCCTTTCTCGATGTTATCACCGAACGCCACAGACTCGCCAGCCGAAGCAGCCTCGCGAAGCACCCGGCTGGTCGTGTGCTTCGGCTGTCACAATTTCCCATTAATAGTTCAAGAGATACTGTATATGGCTAGTTTGTGATGCTAGGCGGAGAAGGCCTGCTTATTGATGTAGCCGCTGATGTCTCGTTCAGTGTGGGCGTGTTATATGTGTCCCACGCGACCGTCAGTGCACCCACCCTCAATTTCGAGACCGCCGGTGGCTGATTTGGCCAACATGCAATCGACTCCGGGAAAGTTGTTTGGCCATTTTCGGTGAGGTGGCCAAGAGGTCAAAATCGCCCGTAGAGCGAATGCTCGTAAATACCTCGAAAAAATCCAAGTGGATTGTGATTTCGGGCGGACCGCATGAGCGAGTTCCGTCGTTCTGACTCAAGTTCAACTGACTGTACCCTGCCGGAATCTAAACCGGGCGTTATTGAAAAAGAGGATGTGGAAGCTCCACTAGACCACGCAGGGAGGCGTGTCGCCAGCGAGAGTTTGCGTCACTATACCCACCATCTTGTCTGAATATCATACCCACGGTTCTTCCGGGCAGGTACCCAGCTAGATCAGCGTTTTCAGCTCCACAAGTGTCTTTCATCTGAGCATGCCGACACAAAATGATACTTGAAAAAGGTCAGAGGACACAGGAATTTTATCGCTGATACTCCGATGGAATATTTCCTATTTTACGCCAACAATGTACGCAACGGTGCGGGTCTGGGAATATATATATTTCACATATCGGTTGAGCATACCATAGCGACATTACCTTATGGCTGTAGACCGTGCTAACAGATATAGCATAACAACAAAGAGCATGCGACGAAACTCGAGTCTCATAGAAGAGCGACTGGAATATAAGCAAGCATACACTCTACCATCGACAATGTACACTTTAGCATAGTTTTTGAATTGGCAACCTTGATTGCATGACTCAACTCCTAGCTCATAGTCGAATTTTTTCAGAAGAGACTACATTTACAGGGTATCAGATACAATCACCAGTGGATTCATGCTGACATTCGACATCATTTCGCACCGTGCCACAGCTTTTGAAATTATTGGTGAGAAAACGAGATCTGTGTGATGACGGCGATCGGTGGTTACCGGTGGCATCCACTTCACCGCTCGGCAATCGCGCCGCACTGCACATCAACAGAGGGACCCACTGGTCCGGCCCCGTTATCACCAGCTCTCACCCTCAACCCTCACTCACCACTAGCCCTCACCATCAACACACCATCACCCTTCATCAACACACCATCACTCACTGTCGAAAATAACCCTCACCCTCAACTAGGGGTGCACACGGTACGATATCGTCGGATTTTCGGCCTCTTGGACGGTATACCGTACCGTCGAAAATCCGACGATATTTACGGAATATCGTACCGTCCATATAAGCACCTGCGGTACGGTCGACGATAAATATCGTCGAAAAAATAGGGGGACGGTACGGTCGACGGTACGATATCGACGGTATCCGACGGTATAACGATATCGTCGAGTATTACCTAATAGGCGGATGAGCCCTCGTGAGTGGCTCGAAATTTCACCGGCCACGATCGCTGTCAAAACCATCAAATTCAACAGCACCACGACGTCCTGCATCGCTCAAAAATACAATAATAACAAAATCAGCCTCTATTTCCTATCTAGGCCTAGTTTTTTTACCTTCCAGCGTCATGTGTAGACAATAGTTGCGTGTTGACTACGGTTGTGCTGCGGAGGTCAGATCTCCGCTACGTCAACCCTACCACAATACCCCGAATCGATCAAAAACACAATTAAAAACAAAATAGCCTCTATTTCCTATCTGGGTCTAGCCTTTTACCTATATTAACCCCTATACCAGATGCCCTATACCCTAGAGACCCCACATTTCCAATATAACTCTGTAATATGAAGTCTTTATCGCACTTTGAAATTTTTACTATTCTCTTGACTGTTATGGCTTCATTACCACGACCGCAGCGTACTAATACGCAGCGTGATTATCTAGCCCTGAACTATGGCTATGAGGATAATGTGCCAGACGAAGATCAATATTCTGATTTTCCTAGCCAGGCTACCCCCTTTTCAGATAGCTTTGAAGCTATTCAGAACGACCAAACTGATCTAAGTTTTGATCAAATCCTCCCATCAGAATCTGCCTCGCAGACTATTCGAACAGATCCCGATACTTCGTCATATCTGAGTGCAGTCTCTCTACCATCAATCCAAAAACGACCTCGTAAGACTATAGCTGAAAGCCAGTGGTTATGGGGTCATTTTGATATTGAATTGATTAATCGTCCCTGGATGACTCGTGCTAAGAAAGCAAAAGCCAAAGATCGTCTTATCAACTGCAAAGAATGCAATTGGGAAACGTCTGACTCTGCTCGATCAGGATCGACTAAGAATATGCAGCTTCATCTTGAAAACCAGCATGCTATTAAAGCACCCCTCTCTCTATCTTCCGATTCAACAAGGCAACCTTCGATTATTGCGGCGTTGAATAAGAAGCCAAAGCTATCAACAATAGCTCAGTTTCAGGAGAATATCCTTCGATGGATAGTCAAGGAAAAGATGGCCTTTACTACTATCGAAGCACCCTCATTTCACCAAATATTCGTCGATTTATCAATTCCGGAGCTTGATATTGCACTATTTTCACGAACTACATTGAAACGAAAGCTTGAAGCGGAATTCAGGCGTCAACGTGAGATATTGAAGATAGAGCTTGCCTCAACATGCAGATCTATTGCACTATCTCTAGATATATGGACAAGCTCAAACCATATCTCGATTATCGGTATTATCGGACACTGGCTTACACCGGACTTTATTTATAAGGAAAGGGTGCTTGAATTCAAAGAGCTACGAGGGACTCATAGTGGTGAAAATATTGCTCAGGCAGTATTTGGTATGCTACAAGAGCTTAATCTTCAGCAAAAGCTACTCACAATTACTGGTGATAATGCCAGTAATAATGAAGCTATGGTTATATTCCTTCACGATCTCCTCAAGACTCAGTGTCAAGAGCCTCAATTCCTTGGTCTTGATAGCTATATCCGTTGTCTTGCTCATATCTTGAATCTTATTGTGAAAGATATCCTTCGTGCATTGAAATCTGGCACAATTCATGAAGCTTCGGAGATCTGTAATCACTTAGATAATCAAGATCTATCTACAGAGAGTGCCCTGTCACGTATTCGAATCCTTGCAATATGGATCAGCCGAAGCAACCAACGACGAGCTTCATGGAGAAGTGTGTGTGCTTTGATGAAGCTTCCTGATCGATATATCCCATGTGATATTGATACACGATGGAATTCGACATTTTTGATGCTAGATACAGCTCTAGAATCACAGCCACAGATCAATCGGTATCTGGAATTGCAGACCGAGCTTCCTCATTTCACCAAGCAAGACTGGCGTCGTCTCTCGCAGATACACCAAGTCCTCAAACGATTTTATAATCTGACACTATTTGTGTCTCGAAAGTATCCTCAAATCAGTATGGCTATCCCAATCTACTACGAGCTTCATGATTTACTTAATCAAGGAGCTGAAAGACAAGGAGTATTTGCGGATATAGATGATGATATTGCGGGTGCAATATATCGTGGGCTTGTGAAGTATGAGAAGTATTATACCTTTATGGATGAGACTGATGCTTATTATACTGCATTAATTCTTGATCCAAGAATGAAGGGTGATCTTCTGCTTCATGAGGTGTCTGGTCATGGGGCTGGACAAATAATTATTGACACGATTCGTGACAATATACGTCAGAGGTATCATCATAAGCCGATTGAAGAAGACTCTATACCCTCTATTGATCCTATACTATTACAGGATCATGATGATCCTGAGGTTAGGATGCTGCAGCGATTGGCACCAATTGCAAAAAAGGTAGTTGGATCTGATATTGATGAGTATTTCACATCACCGCGAATTGATATTAAACCATCTGGGGATCGGGAGTGGTTGGTTAAATGGTGGGGGGGATCGTCGTGATAGTATGCCTCAGATGGCTACAGCTGCACGAGATTATCTTGCAATTCCTGCATCTGAGGTGTCTGTTGAACGTCTATTTAGTGCTGGTCGTGATCTTATAAAGATTCGACGGACGTCGTTGAATGGCGAGACGATGCGAATGTTGATGTTGATGGATGATATTATGTAGTGTTGGGGTTATTGGAAGTTGGTAGAGCCAGTCCCGGATAGGAAATAGAGGCTGTTTTGTTTTTAATTGTCTTTTTGATTGATTCAGGGTATTGTGGTAGGGTTGACGTAGCGGACCCCCAACCTCCGTGGCATAACCGTAGTCAATACGCAACTATTGTCTACACATGACGCTGGAAAGTAAAAAAACTAGGCCTAGATAGGAAATAGAGGCTGATTTTGTTATTATTGTATTTTTGAGCGATGCAGGACGTCGTGGTGCTGTTGAATTTGATGGTTTTGACAGCGATCGTGGCCGGCGTAACAGTTTAAGCGATTCAGCCGTGATCTCAGCGGGCCAGCGGCTTCGGCTGACGTTCGGGCTCGCGCCAAATTAGGCTTAGCTTGGCCGGAATATCTCGGGATAATAGTTATTCCGCTGGCGTTCGTATCATTTTCATGAATAGCTTCGGGATTAGGCTATTTTGACCGCAAATTCGCCGGAATGATCAATATTATAGTATTCAGCAGGCAAAGCAATGCTTTTTTTATTTGAATTCTCTCAATTACCATACTAATTTGTATGGTAAGTCATGGAAAGTTATTCAGCAATAGCATAATAGTAACTAATCCTGGTATGAATATAGATTGGATAAGCTATACTAACATGGTGCAGATATATATATTGAGCACGGGGGTGTGTCATGCCGCAAATAAAGGCCCCTGATTGGCTGACGACGATGACTAAGATCACATGACAAAACCGTCGAGATAATATCGTACCGTCGGGTCTATACCGTTATCGTACCGTCAAGACAACGATATTGACGGTACGGGCAGCGATAAATATCGTCAAAAAATTGAACTGACGGTACGGTGACGATATCGTACCGTCAAAATTTTTTCCCGACGGTACGATATCGGACGGTCGGCGACGGTACGATATCGTTATACCGTCATACCGTGTGCACCCCTACCCTCAACCCTACAGTAGAATTCGAAAACAGTTTCCCCTCCGGACACACATGTGTTGTTTCTCGGGTTTTACCTGTAAAGAAGCTAAACAAAAATAGGATATAACTATAAAATAATGACCAATCAGTTCTAGAATAGTTCACGGCTAGATCATTCTATTGTAAAAGTCGTTTTAATTACACTCTGTGAGAGAAAATCTGAGTCTCCGCAGGGGAAACTGTTTTCGAATTCTACTGTAACACCAACTGTAATCCTCAACACGCACAATCCTCGATGTCCACAATACTCTCGTCTCCCTACATGCGGACAAATTCCGCTGCTACGGCTAGCCAGCAGAGACAAGAATTCACACCAATGGCAACTACTTTGGATTTCAATCGCTGCCCAGATTGGCCACCACGCTATCATACACCGCGATTCCAACCGGCCCGATGACTCAATGCTCTACTTCACGCTACGTGGAAGAAAATGCCCATTGTCGAAAGACAGGGCGTGATTCAAGGCTGCATAAAACTTTACGCGAACAAGGAACATGGATAGTGAACTCTACAAACAGGCTGAATATCATAACACACAAAGTATCCCGGAGGATTCTTGATTCTATCGATTATTTGGAGCAGGTCTTGGCTTCTTCGAGTATCCTCGAATACTAGTCTCTGACACCACGAAGAGGTGCCTGCAATCGCCAGAGGATCAGGACGAGGACCGCGGCGCCACGGGTCGCCTAACAAGCACAAATTTGATAACGCAGGGCTCAAGGCTGCATGGAAGCTCAAGATTATACAATCACAGGGCTCAAGGCTGTGAGGGAGAACTTGGTATCGCAGCGGTCTCCTGCGGAGGTTCTTGGTAACGCAGGCGTCCCTGCGGAGCACATGTTTACAACGCAGGGCTCATTGCTGCGAGGGAGCGCGTTTTTACAGTCACAGGGCTCATGGGCTGTGAGGGAGCACATTTTTACAATCACAGGGCTCATGGGCTGTGAGGGAGCACGTTTTTACAATCACAGGGCTCATGGGCTGTGAGGGAGCACGTTTTTACAATCACAGGGCTCATGGGCTGTGAGGGAGCGCGTTTTTACAATCACAGGGCTCATGGGCTGTGAGGGAGCGCACTCTTACAATCGCAGGGCTCATTGCTGCGAGGGAGAACTTGTTGACGCAGCACTCTCCTGCGGAGAACTTGGTGTCGCAGCGGTCTCCTGCGGAGAACTTGGTATCGCAGCGGTCTCCTGCGGATCTCCCTTGGTTTCGCAGCGTCCCCCTGCGGAGGCTCTTGATGTCGCGAAGGTCCCCGCGGAGCACATTTATACAACACAGGGCTCATTGGCTGCGAGGGAGCGCATTTATACAACACAGGGCTCATTGGCTATGAGGGAGCACACTCTTACAATCGCAGGGCTCATCGCTGCGAGGGAGAACTTGTTGACGCAGCACTCTCCTGCGGGTCTCCCTTGGTAACGCAGCGTCCCCCTGCGAGACAGACTTGATTACGCGGGGCTTTTCCCGCGAAGCACACTTGGTAACACAGAGCTTATCCTGCGAAGAACACTTGGTAACGCAGAGCTTATCCTGCGAAGAACACTTGATATCGCAGAGCTTATCCTGCGAAGAACACTTGGTAACGCAGATCTTATCCTGCGAAGCACACTTGGTAACGCAGAGTTTATCCTGCGAAGAACACTTGGTAACGCAGAGTTTATCCTGCGAAGAACACTTGATATCGTAGAGCTTATCCTGCGAAGCACACTTGATATCGCAGAGCTTATCCTGCTAAGAAAACCCGACTGCCCGGGAGTGTGAGGAGGAAAGTCCTGCTTTTCTTTTCGACGGGAAAAGAGCGTCTTTTATGTCATTTCGGATACGTCCTTCGGCAGCGACCACTTGCGTACATTTTGCCGGACCCAGAGATTTCCACTCGACATTCGCACCGGGCGGTCGCATTTTCGCTGGCCATTGAGGCTGTTTATCAACGTTGAAATAAGAAATTTCAAGAGTTAGGGGTGGAGAGCGGGTGGAGTGGCACGCCCCACCCGGACCCTTGGCTCTCCTGGGTCTAGGCCTGACAAATAAAATGCCTCAACGTTGTTGATAAAGGTGAAACAACCTCAACTTGGCTGGTAAGTTCGAAAGAATGGGCTGGCTCTGGCAAATGGACTGACCATACCCTCGAACTTGTGTTTGTAGACTTTGCCATCGTAGCTGCCTCGATGTGTGCTCCCAATCTTGGATGCGCATCTATCCTTCCTCACTACATTTATCTGATATAGGCACTGAATGAACAGATTCTCAATTAAATCATCAGCTTAATTGACCCCTGCCAGAATGGTCCGAGCTTAGCCTGCCCAATGTGCACGCAGATGAATCTTTTCTAGCAGGACACATTGAAAGTGACAGCTTAGCTGCACCGATCGCTGGGCGCTGACTTGCAAGTCCAACCGCGAAGCCAACTTTCTGCGAGCCGCGGATTGGGACGTTCAATTCGTGCAGGTAGCTTGTTAGTCAACGTTTGTCCCGTTGAAAATCTGTTGAAGTGTTGCCAAATGCTTATTGCGCCCCGCTTCTTTGAATTTTCACAATGTGAGACCAAATATGGCTGGCCTAGGCTCAGGGCGATGGCCTCTTCCACTGCGGGAATTTGCTCGCCGGATCTATTTTCACACATGTAGAGTGTCACACCCGTCACGAATCATATAAGAGCCACTCCCGTCATAATTTTCAAACAGGTCTATTTGTCGGCAACACCCCGCTTGATTCGATACGCGACTATGGGAGCCATTCGAAAAATTCCACGCACCCGGAAGATGCCAGACTTCCGACGTTGATTGCAGCGCGCACTGTCCTTGTCATCCTCGGAGTCCGAATACAGCCGAAGCCCATCTCAATCTCTGTCTGGAGACACCACCGAGGAAGAGCCATCGATCCCCTCGAACAAGAACGACAAAGCTGTTCCGCAACAGGGCGATCCTCCCAGTACCCACGATCACGGAGTGCTACCGAGTCCTCAATACGGCGGACACTTATCTCAGCCCAGAGATAGCAACGTGCTTACCCTCACATGCCTCGCAGAGTTAGTCCGAGTCATCCCTTATCGTGAAAGCAAAGTGTTTACTAACAGATGATACTTCAAGACTAGACGTGCGAGTGAAGTGAGTTTAACATTCCCTCCAAGCAATGAACAAAGGGTTAACCTAAGGCCAGATCCCTAGATTGTAAATTGACGGACCAAAATAAGTGTATCGAGGATCTCCGCAATGACCTGGCAGACCTTCTCCACCGGCTGGAGGCTGTCGAGGCGGAAGCAGAGGAGCGGATGAAGAGCGATATGGCTGATACGCCAGATGGGCCCGAGCAGAAGACGGTGCGGACCCGGCAGTCGCAGCGGGGGTGAAATTCGACGGGCTCGGGGGCCTCTGAGGACGTCCATGGTGCGGGAATTCGCGGAGCACGCGTCCAATGGATTCTCTTACGTTGAATACACACTTGCCATTCTTACGATTACCAATTGTACAATGTTCGGACCAGGACTCCTGTTGTGATTTCAATTGGGGATAGGCAATTAATTTGTCTTCTGCGAGAGCAGCAAAGGCCTTGCAAATGGACCTTTATGAATATACCTACCCACCGAGTCAGTCGATGTTACGTATTACATAGAGGTAAATCTTTGCTCAGTGGCCGATTCTATATAATAATTCGTCCCTTCGGTAAGTCTTTCCGGTATAGCGGCAACGCGACGCAAATGACGCAATTGTTTTTAACTTTACATGAAGATGATGGAATTTGAAGAGACATTTTGACACAAATAGCATGACCCAGGCGAAAAGCACGGCGCCTTGCTCTGAAACACATCCTACGGATGAGTAATTGGTTTATGAGTAG